ACAAATGCAACTATCATCATATATGCAGCAACAAATGAAAACCAAACAGACCCTGTATCCCACGCAGAGGTAAGGTTTGAGGATAGGATGTATGCAGACCTTCCCAACAAGTTCTTTTCATACAATCAGGCACGCTTTGGCTTTCACCATACTATATCGTAATTGTTTAAGCTAAGAAATATACCTTGGCATTGTTAAATAGATCTTCTGCAACAGCCTCTCTCTGCTTACGTTTCTTTTCTTCCTTTAGAGACTCGGCTACTCCCTCATTCTCATATTCAGAGCCTCTGCCACAAATTTGAACGTCAATATGAAAATCGTCCCATTAATTTTAACGTAATTTAAAAAAATGAAAGCGAGATGGAAGATAACATGACACATACTTGTATGGATGCTTAGAAAAAGGAACAAGATTGTAGAAACTGTTTCCTGATTCAGTCTCCATCTACAATTGTAAAAACCAAGGTCAAATGATTGAAAAATATGCCCATTACATAACATAATAATGGAGAACTTCACAATTTCATTTTAAGATGTCCAAAGAAAATTTATACGATTTAGTTTTGGAAAGTTTCCAAGTTCCAATAACTAATTTGCCCATTGTCATCTTTACGGAAAATGATGGTATTGATTTGCATTCCCTTCATCACCAAACCAAAAAGCCCAGAATCCCATTTGGAGGTGGGATCCAGGGGTGGGATGCATGCGAACTTGTCATCTATCCCAAAGAATAGAGATGTTGTTCCCGTGAAGGACTCAGCTAATTAAAACCAGAATCAGTCAATGCAATATATCCACTAGATAAAGGTCACAGCAAACAAGATATTGAGTAACAGGTTAATTCCAATCCCGCGATTTTTCAAGAGCATCCCATTCATGCATGAATAAAACTGTAGTAAAGTCAACTGACCTTTTTGAAGCGTTTAAAGTTCACAACTTGATTTTTCGTTGGAGAAGGCAAAGAAGGTAGCAGGTTGGTATCTCGGATGATCAAATCTTGACTGAAAATTACATCTGAATTCCCAATTTCAGCATCATCAGTCTTACGGTCTCGAGTGGAGATTCCATCATCTCTGTCATGCAAGCATGTAACTTGATCATCGTTTGCCTTTGCATTGATGTTATCTGTGGTTGTATTTATCTGATCATCGGGTTTTGTTGAATTTATTGAATGAACAATCGTCTCCACTTCATTGTCATATTGGATGGATTCTCTATTAACAGATGTCTCCCCTTTTTCATCTTCAACAGATTCTATTTTGCGGATTGCAGCAGATGTATGAACTGATGTGATTTCTACTTCTGGGTCGGAATCAGCTACCACTGTCTCGTCTGTGGAGCATGAAGATGTGACAAGAACTGCAATCGGAAATTAAATACATGTTAAATAGATAAACCAATTAATTTTCCCTTGATATATTAGTAACATATGCGACAGAATTGAAAACGTTTTCCTTGAGGGTGCATTTGGTACGCAGACGGGACTGAACTGGATGGATGAGTGAGGTAGACGTGTGAAGCAATTATGCAACTAATTGACATGGGTAGTTTAGTAATTTACTACTCTTTTTTCATCTACTTGACTTTTGTTCCACTTACTTTGGTGGGACAGAAAAAAAGCATTTTTATCCATCCAGTCTAATGTTACACCAAACATGGGACAAGAAGTTTTTGTTTTGTCCCGTCTTGTGTACCAAATGTACCCTCAAGTACATTAATAAGAAACGTTACCAGGTGGTGATACAAGAACAGAAGGATCCAGGCGCCCGGATAAAGTAGCACAAATCAAGTTTATTTCACTCACTTTAGGTAGAGAAGTAAGATTATGTGAGCACTCGGAATCATTTCCTTCTCCAACAGAGATTACGTGCACAACATGATTATTTTCATCGTCCTCCAAACCCTGAAAGATTTTTTCCCATGAAACGCCATAATTATAAGCAACTAAAACACGAGTAGATCAGCATTTTGCAGCTTAAAGGAACACAAATTGAGTCAATCATGTAAGGATCACTGATCACGTAACTGTTTTTTATACAAATTGCTTAACACGCATCTTCCCTACTCCAACCACATACCAATTATTCTCCAAACATTTTCCTTTATTTATTTTAGCCATCTTCACCTTAGGATTATAGTTGATCTATACAATGAAATCTCATCTTGTTTTTGGGGAAGGAGTAACATTTGCAATCTTTTTTTTTTTTGTAACCGTGGTTGTCCGGGCTAGCTTGCGAGCACCTCGACTAATCCCATGGGGCCCTGAAGATAACAGTCAGGAAAATCCCCAGTAGCCCTAGGGAGACTCTAACCAGCGAGCTATGGAGAGGAGCCCGCCAAGGCCTGGCCTTTATTTGCCAGTTGAGCTGGCATGCCATATCAAGAATAGCGTTCTGTCTTTACACAAAATTAACAGTACCTCAAACAACGCACTCAGTGAAATCATGCTTGTAAATTAATATAATGAGCTTAAAAAACGAACCCTCTCTCGCTCCAAGTAATTGCAACATTATATAGCATTGATTGGTCTACAAGATTCCTCAATCTTTTTGTCATTTTTAGTGGTGTTTTAGGCATTTAGTTAATATAGTCAATATGAACAAAGGGAGTAAAATACACTGAAAGATTTTTTATAGTTACTAAGAAACATCCTTTTATCTCTTATTTCATTTTAATTATAGCTGCCAAATAAAAAAGAAGAGATCACAACCTGACTATGGGGAACGAATTCTTCAACAGGAACGACTTTTGCACCAAAGGCTTCCAGTAAGAGCTGCAACTTTTCCTTTACTTTATACTGTAAAACAGAATACATATGTAATTGAAAGGAGAAATGGAATGCATCAAACTAAAAACACGGTGCATACTTTGAAAAATAAGAGATATATAACAATATGTAGAATAGCCTATTCAGACGATTCAAAGCAGAAACTCTACTGTTATTTTAAATAAATAAAGGGCACACATAAAATTACAATGTCAGCCAAGACAGGAGATGTTATTACAATTGCATAAATCAAAGACCATATCACAGACAAATGCAAACAATTACTTGCAAACCTCAACGGAAAACCATAGAGAATTCTGAAAACCCATAGTCCTTCTTGGTCTATGCTTGCAAAAATTAGTCAACCGCATATATCTGGTTGTCCACATAACTGACAGAAGCTGGTTTTGAAGTGCATATCTATCATATAAGCATTATTGTTGAAGTGAAGAATGTGATCTTTGAGTCTATGTGAGGCATTTTGTGGTTTATCACAATGTCTATGCTTTTGTTTAAATCAATTGAATTCTTTCCACAGCCAATATGACATATCATGAATTTTTCCTTCCTTTTTTATCTGCACATATTACAAAGTTTATAAGGAAACAAGTCCATAAATAGATTTCAACACACTTATGCTAATTGTTCAGGAATTTATCTAATGATGTTTCCAAATCTGTTGAAAAAGACCATATACCCACCTTCAGAAAATAGATGAATGTTAAGTAACATATAATGATTTTCATTATCACATTGCTGTAAGAGAGGAACAACCCAAAAGCTAATACTAACATTCAGGTTAAGTCCATAATGAAGTCAGTTATATACTCGGATGTGCAGTTGACTGATTATGCTATTGCATCAATGAGTTGAAGTCTAGCAACCACAACCGGCCCCACACGGTCCAAAAGCACCAATGTGTGAGGGCATTTTTGGCTCAGTCAGCGGGTGGGGGAGCGATCGAACCCGGGACCTGCCTTGTATTTGGGCAAAGTCTAGTATTACTGTCAGTAATCAGCACTGACCTCAAGATTGATAATTTGTCACAGCACAAACAGACGACCTTAAAACTTAAAAATTCACAGATAGCAATGAATCAGCATGATAACATAGAAGATGATGATCAAAACATGTTCTCAGCTTACAGAAAGAGAATATGCTCTAAAAGCTTACCATGTCTGACGACTCCAGCAGAAAAGTGTATCCACTTAAACAATTTTCTCGAGATTCAGGGTCAGCAACTTTTACAGAGACCCCTTGCAATGTCAAGGTAGGAGCATAGCTGTAGGGGGAGGGAAATAGAAATATCTTTATGATCAAAACAGAAGGAATCATATAACTGTTCAATTATGAAACAGATACAAGCCAATACTTACGAACTGCAGCTAGGAATTTCAGTGCCAATACGTTTCTCTGCAAGTAACTGAATACGATTGAAAAGATTGAAATACAAGTTGAGGTTATCTCAAATAAATGTCGAATCAGATATAAAGCAGCCAGGTATAACACCTGATATCAGAAAAATATCCTAGATTGCTGTCAAGTAAGCATTTTGACAGGTCCAGTAAGGTCTACAAAAAATGCAGAAGACCATGCAATATAACTGCATTCAAATAATTCATGGGAGAAAAGTTACCTCTATCCATTTAAAACTGACAAAATGTCTTTTAGACACTACAGCATCAACTACATCAGCATTCATTGATGCATTATCACCAAGAAGAGCATGTGTGCACTTTGGGCTCCACTTATTACTCATAGAAGCACCTACAAATCATGTTGTAATATCGTTCATAAAAAAATGTTAGGTGCATTTAGGAGTCATATTTAAGAGTCTGACAGCAGTAGTTAAAATCTATGAATTACTGTATGAGAAAAAAAATTATGAGAGTGAACAGAGGGTTCATCTGCGTTATCCAGTGCGTTCGGCGTCCAGACAGGATAGTACAGGACAAGACAGGACAAAACAGTTGTTCAGCGCTTGGTAAGACAGAACTGGAAAGAACAAAACAAGTAAAATGACCAATTTACTCCTAATGATTGTTTATATATTTTGATTAATTTATGTAATTTATTAAATTATAATAAAGATAATTATTTTTATAACAAAATATATCATTAGAAAGTTTCATCAAAACAATTAAAATGACACCAAAATAAAAAATTTATGTAGTTCCCAATTTTTATATTATCCCTTTTCAACATTATTTTTTATTCTTACTACATAATAAATTACATAAATTAATAAAAATATGGAAGCCATATAAAAATAATATTTTGAGGACAGTAAAATGAAAGTTTAAAAAGCATAAAATACAATAAAGAAAATTCAAAGAATGAATAAAATGTAAAAAAAGGAGACCTATTTGATGTTTTAGAAGAGAATTAAGTTTTATTTTGAGGTTATATCGGTAAAATATAAGTCTGTTCCACCTTGTTCCACACCATTCCTGTCTGTTCCACATAAAAGTCCTGCCAAACATGAAACAAAGATCCTTGTTCAGTTCTGTCATGTCCAGTGTACCAAACACACCCTAAAGGCTTAAGGAGAATCTATGTCACACATCAATGATAATTTTGTATCCTGGTCTGTCTCTAAATTGTTATGTTCATTGTTTCGTACTCGCTGTTCTACAAAATAACCCAAAATCCTTACAGATACTTGGTTCAATTTTGTTTTGGTGGTTAGGGGTTAGCACATATTTTTTCTAAATAGCGCAAATTGCATTAAAAGGTAATGTACTTTGTTTTAATTTCTATTTTAGAAAACGTACTTTCAAATGATACATTTAAGGGTCCATTACAAACTTTACAAATAGAAAAGGGACTTGCTTACTTGCAAACATGATAAGAGCTGATGTGGCGACTGTAAATGATGACGTGGCAGTGATTTTGATTTTCTTTAATACAATTTTTTTTTTACTATTTCCTCATCATCTTCGTAATTTGCTTTGATATTTTAGTTACTACTAAGATAACCTTTTTTTATTTCTTCATCTTCTTAACCATGGCCGACCGATGACAGCCATATCTCAAGCCAACCTCCTAGATAAATACCCATAAACACAAACAAACACACACAATTCCCCCTTCTCCGATCAAACCCCCAAAGCACACACACAAGCAAACACTCATAAACACAACAAACCCCCCTCAAAACCTGCAACTGCAACCCACAGCGTTGAAATCCGAATCAGAACCGAATTCCATAACCCAAAAGGGTAGTGGAATGTGGAGATCATCAATAGAGGAGTGAAGGGGGAGGGGAAGAGAAAGGCGAAGGTCATTGGCGGTAGTGGCCGTCGATGTAGGTCACCAGTCGATTCTTGTTCTCGAGTCCGTATCAAATCAAGTTTCTGGCTTGGTAGCTAAGGAAACGTCGAGGATTAAAAGTGAGAATGGTAGGAATTGATTTCCTTATATGTCTGAGACCATGGTAGTGGGAATCAATAGCAGTGAGAGAATCACCGAAAGGTTTTCTAGGTCACCGGTGAAGACCCCTGTGCATGTTTGTGTATAATATATATATATATATATATATATATATATATAACAGAAAACAAAAATGCCATGTCAATATTATTTTTAATATTTTTGACACATCATCAATATTATGACCGGTTACCTCTTATCCAGGTAACCAGGTCCCTTTTTTATTTGTAAAGTTTGTTACGGACCCTTAAATGTATCATTTGAAAGTACGTTCCTTACAAAAGAAATTAAAACAAAGTATGTTACCTTTTGATGCAATTTACCCTTCTTATACCACACAAGTTTTGTAGTTATCGTAAGAAATTACCGTATATCAGCAACGGTAAGAACTGAAATTCTGTGGGTTTCTGAGTTCATAAGAATCATCTACCATAACAAAATGGTATCCCTTTTATGGGTTGTTTCAATGTGCCATTTTAATTCCTAGGATGGACAAGTGGAGCACTAATGTTCCATGTCTTAGGAAATGAATATAAAACAACTGACAATAAATAACAAGAAAAACGGTCATCTGAATATAACATGAGATAAAAAAGAAAAATCACAAAATACTGCAGATAGCCAAACAGCTTGTGCTTTACCCAGGCGATTGGCTAGTTCAAGGATAACATGAATGCTGATTAGAGATGGTGGTGGAAGACCGAGAATAATACAGCGAATATGAGCTTAACATGAACAAGATTTTGATGGAAGGGCAGAAACATAAAAAAACAATTAAACAACAATATTTGGAAAATACAAAATGATAGAAAAAAAATGTTGTATATAGGTGGATGAAACACTTGAGCAATTTCAAACTTCAGTGAGATGATGAAAACTACTAACCAATGGATGATAGCTTCTCTTGAAGTTCTTTTGATCGGGCAGGTTCCAACCCACAAGGAAAAAACACAAGGGGAACATAACTAAACCTGCAGGTATCACACACAACAAATTAGTTTATATGGTTTTATTTCCAACATGTAATTGTAATTACCTTAGCAATTTCTATCAAGATACCCATGAAAAAACCCAAGGAAAATGACTTCTTTTTTGTAAAAATATACTTGGTATACCTGTAAGTAGCAGTACCAGTTCCAAATGAAACAAGGTCAGCATCATCCAATGTTGTCTCCTTCCTTGGAAGTTCGTTAACCTTTTCTTTTGACCCATGGGGCTTCTTAATGAACGTTCCATACTTTGAGCAATCCTTTATCCTAATTTTGGATGATTTAACGGCTAGTTTCTCGTTCATATTGTCCATTGAAACCATTGTATCAATAACTATTTCTGCATGGACCCGCGAAACTCCTTTATCCTTATTAACGATTATATCGCATCCTATAGAACAAAGGATGGAAGGTTAGCAACCTAGTGACTCATCAAGCAAGTAATGTAAGTAATCATATATAGGCAATCTATACATGCTGCTAAACTCGTATGTATGTGGCTCTTCACTTTGAAACCCAATTGATGTTGGCATTGACATCTACATTTACAGATTAAATAACTACACAATAATAAATAGTTTTAAATGGAGGTGAAAGAAAATGACTTGTCAAGAGCAAAATAGACCTGAGTTCCTCATACCCCTTTTTGCCCGGGTAATAAGTGAAAGACTAGCCATTTGTAAATATGTTGTAAACAACAGAGTCTTGTATGCAAGACACAATATAACAACATAATATCTAATGCATTTGGACCATCTTTAGAAGCGTTTGACTCCAAAGAACCATGGGTAGAGCATCCCATTCATTGATTACAGTGGACTGCAAAAATGGGCTAGCCAACTAGACATGCATCCCCTATAATGGAAGACAAATATGCAGGTAAGCAAACAAAATCTAAGAATAAGCTAAAGTATTCATCAGGCTCTTATACTTCAATATGAAGAGCTTTAGTCTCTGGAAAGCATGCCATTCAGTCACGGTTTTTCCAAATACATATCATAGTGCAAAGTATACTCTTTCTTATCAAAGCCCTTCCCCTTGTTCAGCCTTACCAGGCTGTTTTCAGTTCACCATCGAAAGCGAATTCGATCCACTCCTTAAGTAATGTAGGTGATTTTTGCTTAAAAAGAAAAAAAATATGAAGCAATGTTGTGTCAAACAAATTATGATCAAGAAAAACCACTATGCCTAACTTTCTAGATCCAACTCTACTTATTACCTACCCTCAAAAATGAGACTATCACACACAAACAAGGGGATTGGACGGTGGAAAGTAGGGGGAGAGACTATCCAAGAGCAGCAGAAATGAGACTAATTTCTAATATATTGCAGGCAATGCAACAGCAACAGCAGACCGATCATTCTCTATCCTGAATTAGCCAGAATTGAACGTCTATGATATAGAAATCACAAAGAGACAGCTAGATGAAAGCAAATGAAACAACGATAGGATTACCTTTTCGTCCCACTTTATATGACCCTTTGCTAAAGAGGTAATAATTTTCTTCCCCTGCAAATGAATGTAAGTTCAGTAGAAACCATGCACATATAGGACAAACCACTATGAAACTGGAGCTGAAGTTGTTATAATATGTTTTCATGGATATGAACATTCTCATTTATCAAGTGTTAATGGAAATAAGAGATGATTCACTCAAAGATTAATGGTGCACCACAAGCAGCTCTTGTTAAAGTGATTACTACCTCCTCTCAATCACGTACAAAATCCTCTACTATTGCACCTTCATTATAGCAAGAGATTGAGAGAATAATGTAGATTGTATTTTACATTGATAAAGCTTCAATTATAGGCAGATTATGTGGATTATGATCAATTTATTTATTGTAAAGATATAGCAAGAATGTTATATAAGCTTGTAAGTTGTACTATCTCAAATCGATAGAAATCCATTTCTACATGGTATCAGAATAGGTTCATCCTTCCTCTAGGTTTTTTTTCCGTCGTCTCTTTCACTCTCATATCCATGGCCACTCCCACCCAAAACACAGCCCAATTTACAAAACCCAGTGAAACCAATTACCTCACCTGGCTTCGACAAATCAAACCCTATCTTCATGGACAGAAGCTTTTGGGACATGTCGACGGCACTATTGAAGAACCCTCACCCACAATCACTATACCAGCCACCAACAAGGACCCTGCTAAAACTATTCCCAACCCCGCTCATACCCAATGGTTCACCGTTGATCAGCAGATTGTGAGTCTCCTCACGACCTCTCTCACCGAAAGTGTCTCTCAACTCACGATTGGCTTTGACACCTCTAAAGCTATTTGGAACTGTTTATCTCATCATTTCTCACAAAATTCCACAGCTAGTGCATCTAGTCTGAAGCTTTAATTACTTGAACTCCAGAAAGACTCTAAATCAGTTGATGATTATCTCCATCATGCTAAGTCCATTGCCGACTCTCTTACATCCATTAACAAGTGAGTTTCTGATGATGATTCGGTTCTTGCGACTTTACACGGCTTTGGGCCGGATTACCTTATGCTACGAACGACCTTAACTCGAGGGTTCTCTCTTTCCAACTTCTTCGATCTCCGTGCTCGGATCTTGGCATTTGACGCTCAACRCCAAGATTTRTYTTSAAGCCTACCAACAGCTAYTRCTCTCTACCACAATGCMCATTYCCCTTCCYCTTCCAACYGYCGTGACCAACRCAATKGCARCMGTCWTKACYAGCGTAGCAAACAAAACTTCAGGTCCAACCGCCATCAACAAAATCAATGGCGTTTCTCACCCCAAAGTGGTCTGTTTAACCCACAAAACCAGTAGATGCGGTCTTCCAATATGTCTCAACCCTACCCATTTTCTCCATGGGCAAGTCGAGCTCTAGGTCTTTTAGGACCTGCTCCTACTTGGTGCACAAATTGCAATTCTGGACAACATGGCCTAGCTCAGTGCCCTCACCGCTACTCCGCACCAAACCCAGTTCCTCCATTTGTTGGGGCTCATGTTGTGGCTGGTCCAAATTGGTATCCAGACACCGGTGCTACCCACCACATGACGGCCATGCCTCTACAAAATGCACAACCTCACAATGTCTTCATGGGGAATGGTGATTCCATGCCAATTTCTCACACCAATAACCTACCTCTTCCCTTGGGCTCCTCCTTTTTTAATCTTTATGATGTCTTTCGTGTTCTGTCCATTCGTAAGAATCCCTTGTTAGTTGCTTGCTTCACGAAGGATAATCTTGTTTTCTTTCTTTTTGCTCCCAGTTACTATCAAATATATTGTTTACGTACTAGTCGTTTGTTGTTCCAGGGCCCACATAAAGACGGATTATATCCATTTTCACTTCCGAGACACGGTTGATCATGCTCTTGCGTCCATTCATTCGTCTATCTGGCACAACCGTCTTCGTCATCCATATTCTTGCTCGTCTTGGATCTAGTCTTGGGTCCAAAGTTTCTTCCAATTACTTTTGTAATAACTGTGCTCTTAGCAAGTCACGTTCACTACCTTTTCCATCTAATAATACTTTTGCTACGTCTTTATTTGATATTATTCATAAATGTATGGATGTCTCCTAGCCTTTCTACTACTGGCTTCCAATATTATGTGTTGTTTACTGATGAACACTCTCGCTATACTTGGCTTTATCCAATGCGACAGAAAAATAAGGTTCTCACTCATTTTAAAACACTTGTTGCCATGATTGATAATTTTTTTCATCAACGCATCAAATGCCTTTAAAGTGCTAATGGCACAGAATTTTGAATAATGATTTCTCCAACTATTGTGCTTCTTTGGGCATTTTACAACATTTCTCATGCCCTTAAATCCCACAACAAAATGGGTTGGTCGAGAGAAAACATCGCCATATTGCAACCATGGCTCGTACATTGCTTCTTACATCTAGGGCACCTCATAATTTATGGGTTGAGGTATCCTAGCCTCTGTCTACATCATCAACCTCCTACCCACTGCTACTCTCAAGTCTCAACTGGACTACTCCTCACTCACTTCTCTATGGTCACTCTCCTTCCTATTCATCTCTTCATTTTTTGCGGTTGCCTATATTTTCCTCACTTTGGTAATCCACTTTCCCGTAAATTATCTCCTCAAAGCATTGAGTGTGTCTTCAATATGCTGTTAAAATCGCGATATATCGGCGGATATCAGTCTCTTGGAAAAATATCGGTGGTGAAATATCGGTTCCAATAATATCGCCGATATTTACCGATATTTTGATGGAAAAATCGTTCCGATATACCGCTTTTCTATAAGGCAAATGTTTGGGCTTTTTTTTATTACATGTTGGGCTTAGTTTTTTGGGCGTCTTTATTTGGTCAACCAGTCAACACATATATTAGGTCTCACGCTTCTTCTCTTCTCGGTTCTTCACAGTTTACGCTTCTTCTCTTCTTAATTCTTTCACAGTTCACGCTTATTTCTCTTCTCGGTCTTCTTCATCTTCACGGTCTGGCTTCTTTATTTGGTCAACCAGTCAACGTATTAGATGATGTTGACTCGGATGCCGAACCTATTGCTTGCGATTAGCTCGTTTTTGAACATTTTTCCTATTTTGTTTTGTGAGACTTGTTTATGTGATGTTTTAATTTTGAAACTATAATTCTAAACTCTAATTAATGCATATGATATGTTTATGGATGCATACATATAATATATATATATATATATATAATTCTAAGAAATATTATATTAAACGCTATTTTGGACCGATATATCACCGATATAACCGAAATATCGAATATCGGTCATGACCGATATTTTGTATTATGACCCCAGTAACAACATAGAGCTACCATGTCTTGATCCTAAATTTGGCCGATATAACCGAAATATCGAATATCACTTGTTGCATTATCCCTGATTTCAGAACCTCGAACCACCACAGATCCAAGTCCTGAACAGATCCCATCTGCTGTATCTGGATTTCAGAAACTCAAACCACCACAGATCCAAGTTCTAAACAGATCCCACCTGCTCCAGACGCATCCACAGAGGCGCCATCTCAAAACCCAACACCACTAATGGTACATTCTATGCGCACACGTCTCCATGACGGGATCATTCAACCTTGCATTCGAAGTGATGGAACTGTAAAGTATCCTCTCCCTAAGGCTCTCATTTCTATCATTGATACCATGGAACCTTCGTGTTATCCACAGGCATCTAAGGAAGCTTGTTGAAGAACTGCAATGACCAAAGAAATCAATGCATTGTTGAAGAATGGCACCTGGTCCTTGGTACCACCATCTCCTTCACATCACCTAGTTGGCAACAAGTGGGTGTTTCGCATAAAGAGAAAACCCGATGATTCTGTAGAGCGCTATAAGGCGCAATTGGTTGCCAAAGTCTTTCACCAACAACATGGAATTGACTACGGTGAGACCTACAACCTAGTTATCAAACCTGCAACCATTCAAATAGTTCTATCTATTTTAGGGTCTCGTCCATGGCCACTTTGGTAACTTGACATTAAGAGTGCGTTTCTCCATGGATCCCTTTAAGAAGATGTCTACATGGTTCAACCCTCGGGTTTTGTTGATCCTACAAAACCTTCCTATGTCTAGAAGTTGCATAAAGCATTGTATGGCTTAAAGCAAGCACCCCGTGCGTATGAGCACTTTTCTTCTCTGTGGGCTTCCAAATCAGTAAGGCAGATCCCTCTTTATTTATATATCACCATCCTGGCCATATTATCTACTTCTTACTATACGTTGATGATATTGTTGTCACCGATACTAATGACAAGCTTCTCCAGAACTTCATTGATTTTGACATCAAGGATCTAGGGCCACTGAACTATTTTTTGGATCTTCAAAGTCACCTCCATTCCAGAAGGCATCCATATTAATCAGTTGAAGTATGCACGAGACATTATGGAGAAACATGACTTATTGCATAGTCAGCCAGTAGGCACACCATTGTCTACTAAGGCAAATTTTTTGTCCTTTGAAGGAACTCTTCTTGACAATCCGACAGTGTTTCATGAAGTGGTTAGGTCTCTGCAGTATTTAACAATAACTCGGCCCGACATTGCATTTGTTGTTAACTCGGTATCCAAATACATGTGCCAACCTCGTTCAACGCACTTAATTGTTGCCAAGCAGATACTTCATTATGTAAAAGGGACTATTGATTATGGCCTTAAGTTCTTAGCTCAACAACCACCCGTTCATGTATCTGCCTATTCAGATGCTGATTGGGCTGGTTGCCCCGAATCTAGGCGCTCAACCTCAGGTTATCTCATTTACATTGGCGACAACCTTGTGTCTTGGTGCTCCAAAAAACAACCCACCGTTGCACGCTCAAGTGTCGAATCTGAATATTGAGCACTGGCTCATGCTAGCGCAGAAACACTTGGTTAGGCTTCTTGTTAGCTGAACTTGGTGCTCATATTGAATTTCCAATACTGCTTTACTGTGACAATTTGAGTGCCACCTACATGGCATCTAATCCGGTATTCCCCGCCCGTACCAAACATATTGAACTTGATTATCATTTTGTGCGTGAGAAAGTGGCACTAGGCAGTCACCGGGTTCGTTTCAACCCATCCATAGACCAACCAACGGATCTTCTTACTAAGCCTCTACACCATCAGCGTCACAATTTTCTTCGTCACAAACTAGTGCATCCTATGCTGCCCAGTTTGAAGGGGGTGTTAAAGTGATTTCTTCCTCTCAATCATGTACAGAATCCTCTAATATTGCACCTTCACTATAACAAGAGACTAAGAGAAAATGCAAATTGTGTTTTACATTAATAGAGCATCAATTATAGGCAGGTTCTATGGATTATGATTCACTTATTTAGATATAGCAAGAATGTTATATAAGCTTGTAAGTTGTACTATCTCAAATCAATTGAAATCCATTTCTACAACTCTTAAATCATAAATCCCATACCCTCGTATGTAGATGGCAAGTGCAAAAGGTATGAGACAACCTTGAAGTTGAACATTGTCCACAACCACAAGAAAATAAAGATTATAGAATATTCATGTGTTTTCTCATCCATAAATATTATTAAAAAATTTAAGTTTAAAAGCGCTTACGGGGTCACTTACCTTACCAGGCCATCAAAATGGCATGGTAAGATTGTTGGTAAGTGTCTCTTGCCTGGTAAGGCTAACTGAGTAAGAGTCACCACCTTCACTTACCGGGTAAAATTCGCAGTCCTTGCCATGCCCCCGGTAAGGTAAGTAACCGGGTTAGCGCTTACTCAGGTAGCATTTGGTAAACAGTCCTTTAGTTTTTACTTTTTGTTCCTTAGTTTGGAAATATTAAGAGTTTCATCTTTCATCTTTGATATAGTTTTTACTTTTTGTTCCTTAATTTGGAAACAATTAAGAGTTTCATCATTCATCCTTGATCTTTCCCATGGTTCATTCACCTACTTACTGTCATCTGATGATATGGTTTGTCCTAAAACTTACAACTATGTTTTTGTTCTTGCTGTCTGGTTCGCCCTACTACTCAAATCAATGCTGCTTGTAATTCCATGTACCATTCATCCAAACAAATTTAAGAGCTTTATATTCTGTAATGAAGTTACCTTCAATGGCTCTCGTTTCTACAGCTAATTCAAGTGTAACCGAGTCATATGCCATAAACAAACGACATATTTAGGTATTTAGTTTCTGCAACATATATCATCAAGAAAAAACAAGATTTGTGCAGTAACAAAATCGCCTAGTAAAACAAATAAGCACCCACCGTCTACGAAATGCGACAAAATTCCAGAAAGTTCTTAAAGAAAAAAATGTAAAAGAAAAGTTTAACCTGAAAGGGGATCGGCGGGAAAGAGGCCCCAAACCATGTATACCGTAGTTCGCCGGAGATTATTTGCAGGTTTCAGAGAATACTGTGCACACTCGTATTTCAAAGATATACATCGGAATACAACTCCATCAAAATATAGAGAAAAATGCAAAATCTCTCCCTTTTGGTGGTTCAACACCTTGATTTACAACTTTTGGATTTGAAATTTGTTAGTGTGTTTGATTTGTATTCATTATTTATAAATAATTCATTAAAAAATTATAAAAATAATTAAATTACCTTTTTATTAATTTATTATTACAAAACAAACGTTTTTTCAACTTATTTTAAAATATTATTACAAATAAATTTTACGAAATCCTTTGATATATCAACCACATCTGTGTGTGGAGGTGTTCATCCAAACCGTCAACCGTACAAACCGTCCACATTACACCGTACCAACATGGTTTAGAACTCTTGCGGTATGGCTTGCGGTTTTGAGTTATCAAACCGCACCGCATATTTTGTACATTTTTTAATTTCATTTATATATATAACACACACATATATATATAGAGAGAGAGAGAATAAATTATTAATGATGTGATATTTTCTAGACTTTGTGTTTTGGACTGTCATTTTGATCCAATATGACAATTGGCAATATTAATGAATTAACTGGACACATCACGGCTCACTTGTGCAATTTAGTTTGAAGTTTACTTTTTTATGCAATATGTATTTGGTAATCGGGTGTACCGAAACTCTTTATTTTTTTGGACCAAGTTCACTTTATCATTGATTTTATAATGTATCTTTAAACTTACAATTATTGGATTGTAGGCATAAAGTACAACAAGTACAAAAAGTATAAACCACATTGTACCGCAAAAGTTTGAGGTTTATGCAGTGCAGTTTACATATACAGTACGGTTTACGGTTTGGCCCCAAAGTGCACCGCGAATACAGTACCATCACATTATTTGGACAATTAACCCAAAAAAGTTAGGGGGTTTCTGCGTCTCAAATTAAAATTAGGGGGACCAAAGTGGGATTCATGTGAAAGTGAAAGGAACTAAAAACACAATTTCAATTTCCTAAACCCCAGAGACCTCTGGCAGTCTTCCTGGCAACAGAGTGCGATTCTTGCGATTAACCTCCGTGGTCTGATTCGAGTACGGAATACGTGAACAGAAGCAAGCGGCAACAACATTTTATTCGAGCCATTTTTGGGTCTTCCTTCTAAAGTAAACGAGGTATGTAGGATGCAAATTTGTTCTTGTGTGAAATCCCTGAAATTTTTACATGTATGCTACCTGTTTGATGAAATTTGCCAATGAAATTAGTCTGATGTACCACTCCCTCTTAATAAGAAAGTACAAGTTCGAAACTATGAGTCCCACCTAGTGTAAAATGATAAAATGTCTTCAAGTTTACGACTCACAGTGGCATATGCTTTTGATAATTAATCATAGCTTTAGCCTTCATTCAAGAACAGTTATAAAGTACCCGTTTTTTTTTCCCGAATATGTGATTGTGTAGGTTATAGATTATTTAAGTTTTCATCTATTAAATAAGGGTAGCAGGAATGCTTATAGTAGGTTTTTGGCAAGCAGCCTGATGTGCGGAGATGGTTAAGCTGCAACACTGTAATGTGCTAAGATGCACAGGGAGTTACATACACACAGAAACATTACTATCATGAAATTATGAAATCACTGGGTAATGCAAAAAAAATTCCATCAATTGACCAACATAAGGTTTTGGCTTATGTTTAGCACTCCAATAAAACTACTAAAAGGTATGAGTATGACATTCCATTTTTCCCTTGTTTGCGTTTATAAAACTGCTGTTAAGTCTTATGGGATGGCCAAAAAGATGCTGGCATGCAATTTCGTCTTCACAAATGCTCAAGCATATTTCACATCGTTACCATGCATAGGCTAGACAGGATGCAATGCAACTTGCAGTTATAGGTAATAGGGAAGCAAATACACATTTGTACGGCCTCTGTTAATTTCCCTGATAGATTAACCTTAAACCACCACCTGATTTATGATAAACTTCTACTTGCACCCACATTTCTTGAAAATCCCTTACAAGTCCCTTGCTGTTATGAAATACGATACAACAGTATGTGGCTCAATTGGCATGTTCCGGGATTCGAGATTGTACTAGGTTTTGTCGTTTTGATATTCGGTTTTTTGAGTTGAAGGTAGAAAATCTTATTCATGCTCCAAATTTGTAACATAATTCCAAGTTAGTACACAAAATATAGTTGATTAGTCAAAGAATCTGAACTGAAAGTAAAATGAAGATTACTAATTTTGGCCATCAACGCATCATCACTATCACAGTGGTGGACTTGCTGTCAAGTTCAAAGAAACCCAAAATAGGGCAGATTCATAGTATGATCGTCAATAAAATTAGTAGGTGAACACGTATTGTCATGTTGGATGCTGACTTTATTGCTTAATTTGTTGAAATTGAATTGGATTGCAAGAGTTCTGAAACCGGGTCCAATTTGGATCAAAGATGGGTGAAGGCGATGACCTTGGACATTTTCACGAAAGCTTTAAATGGGGTTCAGGTTGGTTATATTTGTAACGAGTTTGGCATGCTTAATGTCTATTCTCCAACTTGAGGTGGATTAGCTAACAATAGATAACTAGGGTTTTACTTTCTAGTTAGATTATTGATTATATGTAGTTTCCTAAGATAGTACTCTGATTGGGTATATATCCATGTACATATCTTTCCTTGGAAATACACAAAAATTAGTTTTCCTGTTTTCACAAACCCAATCTAAATGTTCTAATCCTCGAAGAGAAACAAGTATGACGCCAGGGTGTTGATACAACAATTTACTTGTTCTAAAAGCACCTTGTATCGTTGCCAATAAACACACTCAAGTTACAGAGAGTACGATTTGTATCCTAATCAAAGAAACAACCACCACACCAAGTCAAATTTAGTTCTGGCTGAATTTGTAAAAGTGTAAGGATAAGTCTTTGGTGTGGTGGTCCAAAGTGACATGAAATGTTTTAAGATTGTTTAGTGATAAAGAGAGATCAAACATCAATCTGTGGCCACCTTTCAAGAAAATATTTATATTTTTGTCATTTGATTTGTGTTTGTAGATAGCTTTTATAAAGAAGGTAGCTTTTAATTTCTTTTTCACATATGAAGCATGTGTACCATTAGTTAGCTTATGCAGGTACAACTCGAGAAATTAGTTCATCAAATTTTAAGACTAGCTAAGAGTAATCTAGTTGTCATAATGTCATTGTTGAACTTCAAGACTTGTCTTTTCTAAAGTATATAATATTTATATATGGCAAAACTCACAAGCACTCCTCACCTTTGGTGAGGCTTGAACCCTTGAACTCCAAGGAGGTTGGGATCTACAGGTGACCCGAGTACCGCTGGGCCAAATGACCATTTGGTTTGTCTTCTCTTTTTATGAGTACTATGTGCCTTAATGTTTAGATGTTGCTAAAAATAATAACGACAGGTTCAACATGTGAGCCACCTTAATATTATTTTGGTAAATGCTTTTAATCACCCCCCAAAAAAAAGAGCAACCAGAAAAAAGAACTAGACTTGAGAAAAAAACCTTTAGAGCATCTGAGGGACTGACTTTGTAATTCTCCTTAATTAATTTTTAGTTGGGTCAACCAGGAAATCACTACTGAAGCACACACCAAGTATGACCCCTGTTTCATCTAAGCAGTATGCAGGTAAATTTGTCCATCTATATTCATGTTTGTACTGTAAATTCACTTTATCATCTTCATTCGTCAATTCACTTTGTTTAATTTTTTACTTGATCTGGTTTGATTAATTTTCAACTTAATCACAGATGATGTAAGCCTGCTAATGGTGTTAATCGACACGAATCCATTGTTCTGGAGCTCAACCACTACTTCTTTCTCATTCTCCAAGTTCCTATCTCAAGTGAACCCTAATGATAATGTTTATTTGTATACACCGGCAATGTATGGATTCTTTTTGCATAAGGCTACTTCCTATGTCCACAAAATAACCGTAATCCCTCCATTCGTCAAAAGAGTGCACTTTAGCACTTCCCCAACTGAAAATTGACGCCATCTTTTCTAATGCTCTGTACATCCTGTAATGCAGTAATCTGATTTCCTTTCAATCTAAATGGTTCTTGTCAGTTTTGAAGTAAAAAACAACTGATTTGACACTATAAAGTCAAACATGGATTGTTATTTTTCGGGACGGAGGTAGTTTTTGACATTGAGGCTTAGTTAGCTTCCATCTTTCAAGCTGACAAGTCTTATTTTGGGCAAAAATTAGCTACCAAGTTATATCAGTTATGAATTATGATAACATTGGTATTCAATTTGCAAATTCAAGTCAATTATGCATTTGAATGTATGCTGAAATAGGATAAAAATGCAACAATGCATTATATTTTTTTGGAACATTGTGCATCGCAGCCTATGTGAAAATATCCATACCTGATGTCATCGCTATCTGTGTTGAGTATTGAAAATGTTCTAAAAAATTAGTTTGATGTAGGTCCTATCATTCTTGAATTCGATTCTTCTACTAAATCAACTGAATCAAGTAGTGGTGATAGCTACGGGGTTCAATTCATGTGATTACATTTACGATTCTTCGTTGGGGCACACCAACCAGAGAGCTGAGACATTGTTGCAGAAGTTGGAGGAGTTTGTGATTAAGGATGAGGCGCTTAATAAGGAAGACTCGGTTGATGGGATTGGATCTTCCTTGCTTTCGGGATCTCTTTCAATGGCACTCTGTTGTATCCTTTTGATAACTTGAACCATTTTGTCTCTTGTGTTTTTATGTTTTAGCATGTGAAGAGATTGTTTGAAATAACAATGATGATTAGACATACAGCGAGTGTTCCGTTCTGGATCGCTTCATCCGCAACCTCGGGTAATTGTTGTGCATTCATCAAAGCTCAGAGCTTTTACCTAAATTGTTTATGATATTTTACTTTTTTTCTTTTATTGGCTTAATAGTTGTTTATGATATAGAAGATAATCATTCCACATTGGTTAGAGGAAGAGAATTATTATTAAATAATGAGGATCCCTCTTTAAGATTAGAAAGCATCTCCAAAACAAGTATCTGAATGACTTTGATTGGTTTAACAGTTCTTTTTTCTTAGTTTTTTGGGTGTTTCTTGTGGACTTCCTCAATTTTACTTGGTCTAAGGTGCATATCCATCATGTTCACAGAATTTTGTATTGTCAAATTTTTTTATTGCCACTTTGGATAAAGGTTTACCTTACCACAAGTCCTATTTACTTTGCATTTATGAAAAGAAGGAAATGTTTTTCGTCATGTTCTTGTTTTCTCACTAATATGAGACGTGTTAGGTGTCATATTGTCAAGTCATGGTACAAAGAGTCCAAAGTCTTAACAGGTGATATACATGTCAAATGGTAGGTTAGGGCGATCTGGTGGGTTAGAGGCAAGAGTTTTTCAATCTACGAGCATTCATATTACGACTCCCTGCATGTCTCTATATATTCTCACTTCTGAACTGCTGACTTCTAAATGTGTTCAGTTTTAAAAGGTTGACTGCTTTTGAATAAATGTCGTGTATCAGACACTTCTTTAACATGTGATTATATTGTTGTTGATCTTACTATAACGGACATCTCTTATTATAATGGCAGATTTTGTGTTTGCATGGATCACAAGATGGACCTGGACAGTATGTCCTCTGACGTTCTCTTTTTCCCTTTCTCTAGTTCTGTTACTCAGAAAGATATTATGTTTCGCAGATATGTTGCCATCATGAATTCAATTTTCTCTGCTCAGAGATCAATGGTATGCCAATTGTGTAATTTAGTTATAGTTTCCTTTATTTTGCAACCATTATGTTGCTATAGATTGCTTGGACATTGAAGGCAAAGCTAGGTCAGCTATTTACCCAAACTACTTGGAAAGCCAAAAGAGAAATATGCCCATAACAAGATTCTAAATCTCCTTCACATGAGAAAAGGTTGAATTTTAACACTACCCAACAGCAGTCTGTGATTCCATAGCAACAGCCTTGTTATGCCTGCCATTGAAGTATACAACCTACTACATAATCACTAATAGAATTGTGGCAACATCAGGTCTTCTTAATCTTATCTAGTGATAAACTTGGAAATAAAAGTATGCTGTAAACCCTCTCTCAACATAATGGAAGAAGTCTTTTAAACGAAAAGGGTTTGTACACTGTAGCAAACCATCAGAAGATTCATATGAAGAAGCTTTAGAATCTGTCGTTCTGTGATCTTTCCTGTGGATGTTTGATCATATGTTCATTTAAGAACGAACTTCCATGAATTGTTTGAGTACACTGCTGCTAAATTCTTACTACTGTTGCTTCATCAACTGAAAATGGTTGATTTTACATATCTTTGTGTTCTTAAAAAAAATTGGTACAAAAAATATAATTAGTAGTAAAGGTAAAATTAAGATTGTACTGCACTCCCATACCAAAGATAACAAACCAAACATCAGTTTTGGGAATGATATCCTAATCAATGCATAAACCAAACATCAATTTTAACTAATCATACCCATTCCTGATCGAGCCTACTATCAAACTCATACCCATAGTGATTCCTGACAGCAAACTAAATGCACCTTGATGTTTTTGCACTTCTAGCAATTGTGTGCTTTGCTGTTGCATGTAATTGCCACTTGTAACCAGTAAGTTACAAGATTAATTAAAGGCATACTGGTTCTGTTTTCTTTTTTGTCAGAATTAGGGTCTGTTTACTTAGTTGACTGCTGGTAAGACTGTCAGTCAAGCATAATATGTTCTTTCTGATTCAATAGTTCTTCCATTCTGTGAAGTAAATGGTGCTGCAAACCTCAAGTAGCAATAGTTGTTCCAACAGCATTGTATTGGAGAGCATGAAATCATTCTTATTTTTCTTATAAAAGCCTAATTGAACCACGCAGGCACTCACCCTATACCCCGATCCAGAAGGGTTTTACCACCACTTGACTTGACCCAAGCACCCAACCCCAAGGTGATGAACATAGTAGGTTACGACATCAACTAGAAGTTACAATTTCAACTCATATGCTTGGATGTCGTCAACTAAGAAACGACTTGCTTGTTTGGCATGTCTTGCTCAAGTATACTTTTTTTACCATGATATACGTAGTGCACCTGAAAATAGGGTTGTTTATTGGATATGAACCGGACCAACACCAAAAGTCCAAAATAATGGAACCGAAGACCAAACTGACTTAAACTGGTTTGGTTGCAGACAGAACCAGTCCAGTCCCGAATCTAACGATGAATCTAATACAAATTTGGGCCCTTTTAATATGAAAAATATAAACCTAAACTGGCATTGTTTCAAGATAAAAATAAATGATTCAGTTCCAGTTCCGTGTTGAATTGAGAACTGGTTTAATTATTTTTTCTAGCCGAACTGAATATTGCCGGTTCCATTTTAGTTCGTTTCTTCGTTTTTGTCGGTCTAGACCAGTACCCCCACCTGAAATCATGTGTTAGATTTATGATTTCCACTCATATTAGATTATTAGCATAACTGGCATGAGCTACATCCCAGATCAAAACCCTAGAAACTATCTTGAGCATCTTTCACTTTTTTTCTTCTGTTTGTTTACATTTAGTGTAGTTTGGACCTGTGACCATGGATCAGCATCTAAATCGAATGGGAATTCCATATTTTTATTTCTAGTACATCATAATATATGGAATTGCTATCCGTGAGTTGATAAATTCAATTCCACTTGGTACCATCCCAGTGGAATACCAACACAACAATATTTCTCTACGATCAGGGGTTCAGATGCACTCCTCTTCTAGCAGGGAAACAGCTGTGGGTGTTACACCCTTTCCAGAGCCCACAATTATTGAAGCCTCATGTACTGGTCCCCTTTTCATTACTCGATCATCTGCTTCTGTTTTCATGTATTTTCCCATCTTAATTGCAATTTTTGCGTGAATGACTCGAATTGTCTCAAAGTACATTCCTATCAGTTGAATTTCAGAACTCATGTTTAATGCTAAAAGATTCAGAATTTTGCATTTGGCGAATATGTTTGAGGATGGTTATTCTTTTCTATGGTGTGGCTATCAACTTCAGTAATGTGTCTGAACTAGATATTGTCGATGTTCTTCCTTCTATAGGTACCTATAGATTCTTGTGTTATTGGTTCACAACATTCTGCTTTCCTACAACAGGTACCCCATATGTACATTCATATTTCAACTTGAAAGTGTTTTTTTATTGGTATAACTGATTGTTTATGATTCATATACGAGTGCCAGGCTTCTTATATAACTGGAGGTGTATATCTTAAGCCGCAACAGCTGGATGCAATGTTCCAGTACCTAACAGTACGTAATGATCCAGTACTAGATTTGCATGCTCAAATGTCAGGGTGGCATACTTTGCTATTGTTTTTCTTTTGTTTGAATTTGCAAGTATTGTGGTCCACTTTCTTGGACATTTTCCGTCTTAAAGAAGAAACTCTGAATAGCGTTAGTTATTCAAGAAAAGGTCAGGTTGGGCCTGCTAAGTTTTCATGAAACAAACTACTGCTTTAGTTGGTTAAATAATGTATATGACTTGTTATTAGGAAAATAAGGCCATGTTTGGCAACCATAAGCTGCTTTTTTTTCAAGCTTATGGAAAAATCCACGCTTGGTTAGCCATGAGATAGCTTTCTGAAAAGCTACTTCAAGTAGCCTTTTAATAAGCTAGCTTTTTGAAAAGCTACTTCAAGTAGCCTTTCAATAAACTCCAGGGAGATTATTTCCAATTAATTTTTCAGCACTTCATTTTACATTGTTATATAGCTTATAAGTTGGTTTTTGCGAAACACGACTAGATTATCAGTGAGTTTGCCAAGTGTAGTCTAAATGTATGCAAGTGATGTGAACCAACTTTGTTGCCCGCATTAGTGACAGTTATAAGCTTAATTTCATCATAAGCGAAGCCAAATGCTTCGATCATGACCTTGGAGCCTCCACCATTCTGATTGTCACATCAGAAAAGAAAAGATTACAATAAAAAATCATCCAGGATGCCTTATCTATCCTCATAAGAATATCACTGTATGCTCATGAAATGTTGTTTTCTTTCCATGCAGACGGTATTTGCAACAGACTTGCATTCTCGCAGTTTCTTACAACTCCCTAAGCCTGTTGGTGTAGATTTTCGTGCTTCGTAAGTTGCTTGTTACATGAAGTTTTAGTCTCGTCAGACTTGTTCTCTAAACTCGTACTTTGAATTATGCAGGTGTTTTTGTCACAAAAACACAATTGACATGGGCTACATTTGCTCTGTCTGTCTGTCTATTTTCTGTAAGCATCACAAGAAATGTTCAACTTGTGGGTGAGTATTTTCATTCTCATTTATATTCGTTATTAACCCCTTGCCACAATAATTAAGTGTACATCTGGGGCACGATGGGCATGTGAAAAGGGTCGTATATGGTTTGTTGACATGATCTGATTAAGAAAAAGATCCCGGTAGCATGGGTTTGGGTTTCTTAGAAAGCTTTCAGTTTTGATTGTATTTACTCAGGATGAATATTGTAGGAGGTGTTAGTGAATAGTGGAAAAATAACTTTTTTAGTTATATTTATTTTACAAATAAAAGTACTACAGGGTCCAGACCGATAAATTCATAGGCCAAAAGGATGGCTTGGAGATGTTCTTTTCCCTTCATATTCTTACAATATGATATGATTCTGAGTCCAATTTGCATTTGAGTAATAAGAGAGACAATAATCACTACCATTTTACGAAAACACGAGAACTTATTGTCAATCACATGTGATACTAAATCAGAGACTCAACCAACCTCTGGCACGAGCTAGGTCGCCCGCACACTACCAAGTTCCCTCACGTGTATTATCACATGTAACATGGATGTTCTTGCGTTTTCTTAAAATGAAAGTGTTCTCGTTTGAACCTCCACCATATATATATATATATATATATATATATATATATATATATATATATATATGAATAATTAAACGAGAACTAGAAAAAGGTACCAAAGGGCCTTTGGCCTAGCGGTATGTGAGCCATTGACCTCCTAGTAGGTTAAGGATTCAAACCTCACCAAGAGTGAGGAGGATGTGTGAGTTTATTTGTTCTATTTACCGTATATAAATATTATATACTTTCACAACAAAAAAAAACTAGAGAAAGATTGAGAACCGTTAGAACCAAATATCATGTTTTGTTTCACATCTTGAAACAATAAATGTGGAAATACAGTGTTGTTTACTATGCTATTATTTCTAATGTCACAACACTGTATTTTCACATGCATTATTTCACAATATGAAACAACATCATAAAACAACTTTTTATCGGTGGCTCTCATGGTTGTTATGGTATTCAACCTCTTTTTTGGGTCTCATTTGATTATTTGGTGTCTAGTCTAAGGGGCCATTTACCTAAATGCTTACCCGGTAAGCGCTTACCATTAGGAGTCAGCATTATACTTTATTTTACCGGGTAAGATTGTAGTACATCAAAACGTATCTTATGCAACAATTTACTTGGTAAGCGCTTACCCGGACAAAAGTCGTCACCCTCACTTACCGGGTAAAACTCTTCATCCTTATCATCGCTCTTACCGGGTAAGATTCTTACCCCTTGTCATGTTCATCCGGTGAGGAAAATTTCCCAATAAGTACTTACCGGATAAGCTTTTAGTAAACGGCCCCCAAGTGTTTGTTCATTTGTGGCTGCTGTATGTTCTAATTCATGGTTTTTACATCGGATTGCAGATCCGCATTTGGTCAGCCCCAAATAAATGTCTCGGAGTCGAATCAGAAGAGAAAAGCTCCTGATAATTGAATGATATTATTGTATGGTTTGATTTTTATGATATGATGCAGAAATGTAGCAAAGCTTGTGATTGTATTTGCTTTTGTTGAAAATTTGCAATTTCTAAGAACATACATGTGTTTTGGAACCATTCAAAGCAGAGCATACAAACATCTTAAATTGTTGGAGAGATGAAGGGATTTGTTTTTTGGCTTGTTATATGGTTACTATGTGTTAATCATTGTTTCTTCCAAGTGTGTGACTGGAATATTACATCTATTTTAAAGTAGAGATTTTAAGGTAACGTTTGTTTTTCTAAAAGATATTGAAGTTTGAAGTCTTAATTCACTTCTGATTAATAAGAGATGGTGTTGAAGTCTGAAATCTGAATCTATAAGTCTGCTTGTTTTTGTAAATTGATAAACGTATGAAGTCTGAATCAATAGTTTGTTTTTGTAAAATCAGGTGCAAATATTTTGTAAAATTCTCTTGATTTTCATAAAATTTTCATTGCTGAAATTCATCTCAAGAATTGCTTAACAGATGGAAACAGTAAGAATCTTTTAAATTCCTTTTAGACTTTCGATACTATCGGGAATGCTACCGGTGAGTTTGTTTGTGAAAAGATCGATACTTTTGATAGAAGATATATTGTCGATAGAAGTTCTTGTTTCACATTAATTTTCGAAGTTAAGCTGTACGTACAAAAATTATATATATATATAACACATGCATACATCATACATATATATATATATATATATATATACACACATACAGAGAGAGATCTAGAGAGAGAAGGTGGGGCGTGCATTTCACATGAGTGATGAAAGAACGGTGGTGTCCTTGGTGGAGAAAGAGCAATAGCCAAAACGAATCAAAGAAAAAGGAAAACAGAGGAATTAAGATATTAATTTACCTTTTATTTATTCAGATCATATTAAGTGATAAGAGGCTTTGAAAATAATAAAAAAACAAACAGTCTAAATTACAAAACGTTTAAACAAATCAGACATAAATGGTAATTAAGAGCTGAAAATCAAAAAACAAACAATTCCTAAATATTTAGGAGCCTGAACAAATATGATAAAATAGAAAAGAAAAAAAAGAGAGAGATGTATATATCTCTTTCTCTTCCAAGGCAAATTCCTGAACTTTTCATACCTCCTGTGGTAAACAACAAATTAACACCAGAACAATTCATTTATATTTTCATTTTTAACCCTTACATAATTTCATTTTTAGCCCTTATAATTTTTATAAGTTGTTACTTTTAACATTTTTTTCATATTTCTCTATTATACCTTTACTTTTCTAGTTTCTATTTTATACCCTAAGTATATTAATTAATATAATAATGTATTAACTAAAGTACATATTTTTAATAATCTAAACTTTGTTATATTTTTAAGGTTAAAACAAATTAAAAACAACCATTATGATTAATATTTTGATTAATCATATTTTATAAAATTTAAAATGTTATTAGACATAATATAAGATTACTGATATCATCAATCATTTTAGTCAGATAAAAGATGTTATTATAAATAAAATAACATTTGTGATATTAACGATCATTTAAATCAACATATTCACGAATACTATTATAATCTCGATGTTTTTTATACACGTTTAGTCGATATTGATACGGAGTAGTCCATGTAGTTGCCTCGATAAATCTCTTATGTCTCCAATGTGGTGTAATTGTGGTCACTAGGAAATCTCCTGTTAATACACTCATACCGTCATATGTAATGGTTACCATTAATGTATTTGAATGTAACAACCATGTGTTGAGAGGATGATGGTGGATATATCCACAATGTTAAGTACGTTGAAATTGCATTCATATTAAGAGCGTGTAGTACCATGTTGTACCTTGAAGCAACTAGAATGCCTATTTCAGACATACTCCTTCAGTATTGAAGTGGTGCAACCACACCCTTCTGAAAGAAATTCAATGATTCGTAAACATATATGTACTGGTGGCCAAACATACACGAGTAAAATTCCTTATAGTTGACTAATTCAAGCATCAACTCATTGCGAATAGTGTCCCGATCTTCTCCATCTCCACCCAAACAAACAAATATAGTCTAAAATCCACAATTTCCGTCACCTGTTACATCTTGTATCTGCATGATGTACAAGTGAAATATCATCGGAATTGATCAATATATGGATGTGAGGTGGTGAATTGTTGCTGATAATAAGAATTATGCCTCGTTAGCTCTTGGTGCCCCATAATTTCATAAACATATTTTTTTCTAATGGTGTAATTTATAAATAAAAAAAATGTATTTTAACGTATTTTAGTTAATATATGATTATAGAGTCAAGTCCAAGGGAAAACCTCAAAAAAATGAAAAACTGAGGAACACCGTGATAACAGTTCATCTGGACCGTATACACATGTGCATACAAGTAATTTTAAGCAATTTGCTCAGTATGCACAAGTGCATAGCATGCACACGTGCATAAAACCAAAAACAACTTCAATTACTTATATGCACATGTGTGTACGGTCCAAATGAATGCTTACCAGAGTGTTCTTCAGTTTTTCATTAACCTCCTACTATGATTTTATATATTAATATGATAAACATCTAAAACAAAAATTAAAAGTAAAGGTATATAACACAAATTATATAAATAATTATAAGGGTATAAATTGTAAGTATTAAAAATAATGTGTAGTGTATATGAGACATAATTATATGATTAAACCCAAAAATATTCAACATCAGACTCATTACCAAGGTATTGATGAGACGATTATAATGATGTAATATGTTAAAAAAAGAAACGTATTTTTAACGTATTTTAGGTGATATAAGATTATGCATCTTAACATGATAATGTGTACAATGAAAAATGAAAAAAGTAAAGAATATAAAATAAGCCATATAAATAATTATAAAGATAGAAAGTATAATTCTAAAATTTACAACGATTATGTTTAATGCATTGTGAGAGGGAGTAACGGGTAGGAGGGGGTATGTTTAGCAACCCCTTATTTTAATTGTTTTCACTAAGGACGTTAAATATGTTATATTTTTTTATAAATGTTTTTAGGCGTGTATTGTAGTGATGAATTTATAAAATATTTTAATAATATAATTAATGTTGTAATTGCTAAAATTGAATAACTGTTGGAGATGGATAACTCTTTTAAAGATTTTAATTTTAGATACTCCATCGTAGAAAAAATATAGCTTGGTTATTAGAGACGATCTACTGTAAATTTAATTAAAACCGCTCCTTTCTTTTTTAGGTTAGAGAACATGTATTCAGACATCACGACTAGAGGTGTTCAAAAATCTGTTGGACTGTTCAAACTAGTCAAATCAAGACAAATTAGACGTTTTTAATCAGTCTTGACTGAACTGACCGTCGAAAATACACATATTAATTATATTTAACTTTCATGTTGTATCATCAACTTTTATAGCCCAACTAAAAATAGGTTTGTTCAAGACATTATGTTTTTAGTTGGTCGTGTTTTCTAAATTAGCAAAATTTCAAAGTTCGTCAAAAAATTAAACGGATTACAAATCATCCTTCAACTTACTCAATATTTGTCCAAAAATTTAAACATTGTTGGTGGATTTAATTTACATTTTACAACTTGCTCAATGTTTTTTTTAATATTAGAGATGGATGTATTTTATAATTCCATATAATATTTTTTTTAATAGTGTTACATTGGTATTAATTTCATTTTGAATATAAATATTATGTTTGTCAGACAAAACCGTCTTTTTATGGTCTCGGCCGCTTGCAGCTAAACCATTCGGTTTTAAAATTGTACTAAACCGCCATTGTGGTTTGGGCCCGACCATAAAGACCCTTGATCACAACTTTACTTTCAAGTGGTATTTACCTAATTAGATTGATCGGTTATTTAAAACAGAGGAATTGCAAACGAAACTAGTAGTGTCGGCCAACTATTTTTTTTTCTTAATTATTTATGTTTTTAAGACAAATTATATTAGTTTTAGGATCATAATTCTTTAAAGAAGGCTAATATCCTTACAACAAAAAAAAACTCAAAAGTCACTACCCTTTTATTGGCAATTCTATAGAATTTGAATGACTTTATACTCTTATAACAAGAACCAGAAGCTTTAAAATGTGATTAACAACATTAATTATGAGACAATTAATTATTATTTCGATAACAGAAATTTACAAGTATATATTAAGAAATTTATTGCCGTCTTTAGACAGATCATAATTAAGAAATGTTTGTTATAAATATTTAATCATGTTACAACATTAATTAAATCTTACTTTTTACCGTAATGAAACGATCATGTTTTTAAATTTATCATAAAACCATTCACATCTATATATAAGCAATCATAACTATTATATTATATTATATATATATATATATATAATTTATCATAAAAAATTGTAGTAACATTTTAGGAAAAAGGACATCACATCAAAATATAAAATTTATTATAAAAACAAATTAGGTTTTACATTTATAATCCAAAAAACAAGTCAACATTCTATAGTTTTTGTCGTTATGAAATCGATCTTATATTAGTTGTTATAAACTAACATTTAACCGTTATAATCTTCTGCAATGCTTCCAAAATAATTATTTGCAGTTTTCATCTCGTCATTGTAGCAGTCATAAAAATCATCAGACAAACAATTTATATCGTAGTTTTTGACCTTTTCTTTTAGATCGACAGCTTGTTTCTTTTTCTCATCTTCCTTTCCCGTTTTGGATACCGTGGGTGGAAAAGAGGACAAAACCAACCTTTTTAATGGTTAAGGAAAAAAAGAACAATTTTTGTTCCCACGAGCACCTTCAAAACATCGACAGCACCAGGAAGATCATCCGTGGTTATGAAGAAACGAAAAACATCTTAAAATAGTTGAAACAAAATTAATAAAACTGAAAAACATTTATCGAATGATGTTCGGTGTTGAATGGCGGATTAGGTCGCTCTCTTTAAGACGTTTGTGGCACTGCCAAAATTCGTAGAATCAACCACGTCGTCCCCGTAATAAAACAACCCTCTTGTCCACTCGAGAAAACCAAAATATATTTGCATCCTATTTGCCTTGTTGTTTTAACATGTTAGAATCGAGAATCTTACCTGGTAAGAGGCATAACAAGGACCGAAAATATTAATAGATAAGAGGCATAACAAGGACCGAGAGTATTACTTAATAAGAGGCATAGTAAGGACCAGAAGTATTACCCGATAAGAGACATGACAAGGATTGAGAATATTACCTGGTGAGTGAGGAAAAAGACTCTTGCACCTTACCAACAACGCATTTTGATAGCCAAAAATGTTACACGATAAGGTAAGTGCGAGTGATGTTTCTTGCAGATACGTACTTAACCGGTAAGGGTTTGGTAAATAGTCTCTAAGTTTCTTATCAAGATAAGTAATGATGCTTACATTTTCATCTATAAATGGAGGTCCAATTTATTCTTTTGAAGATACCTTTGATTTGAATAAAATATTATTTCATATGTATTTGTTTTACGGTATGAAATTTTTTAGTATGTATTTTTTGTTTCACAAAGAGAACCAAAAGAAACGATTCACTTGTATTTCTTTCCCAATATGTAGACATACCGTAAATCATATTATTACAGTATTTGATAGAAAAAACATTTTGAGATCATTTCTCACGTACTTGTAACATTTTTGTGATTCTCGTTTCATTACCATCATCTATTAACAAAGTGGTTCTTACACTTTTCACAAAAAATCGATTTATACACCATCCGAGTTTTCTCTCTCTCTCTCTCTCTCTCTCTCTCTCTCTATATATATATATATACACATATATGTATAGTATTATTACATTCATATGAATCAATCGCATATAACGATTTTTGAATACTTGTATCTATAAGATGCAGGTACTTATAAGAAATAAGGTGGTATACAAATAGCAAATCCTTTCCAAATATCTAGTAGTGGTTGTACGTTTGATGATCAGAAATATGGAGCCTTGTGCGAGTAAACTACAAACACCATTAATGCATCACCAAAAAGAACTGGAAATTTTGATAACTGCGCCATTAATTCTAAAAACATGCACCAAAATTGAAGAAATGTTTGCAAAAATTACAGCAAAAATCCACATTATGTGCTGATTAATGATTAGAAGAGCAAAGAAAGGATTTCAAGGTTTGAATCTTACAGAGACAAGCTTCAGCCTTCTGAATTGCAGAATTAATCCCTCCTCCTTGCCGTTGCCGCCTTCTTCTTTTGGTGCATCCTTCATCCTTTTCCCCTTCCTTCTCTCTCTTCCTGCTTGATGATTCTGTTATCATCAATCAAATGTACTAATAATTAACGAAACCTAATTATTCTTCCACAATAACTCATTCAAACGTATAAAGATGTTGAGCGATAAGCATCGAAGATTCTCGAATGATTCGTTGTTCGAAACGTTAAATAGATTTCGATTAACAGATTCAAAAGTGTAAATCAGAGAGAACCTTGAGTTAGAATCGACATATGAAGCCGCTGCTGCTGTTGTTTCCGTTCGAATGAATGTTGTTCTTCATCTTCATCGAGAAGATGTATGAACTCCTTAAGCTGGAGCTTTAGATGCTGAAATCGCGTCGGATGTTGAGCTTCGAGAATCTTCAGTTCTTGCTTAGCCAGCTCCTTCATCTTCTAGCTAGAGGTGATCATAGGTGAAGCAGATGTGAGTGAATGGTTTTAAGCATTTTAAAGATGTAAGGTTAATGGCGGACACAGTTTCAGAGGAGACGTGACCCTCACAGCCGTTGCTACTCCATTCTCGAAAAAGCTTTTTGTTGCACATCCCCATATTTATTTCCTTCTTTTTTGTTTTCTTTTCAAAATAAAATATTCAAGAGTTCCAAAAAGTGTTTCCAAATATTCTTCAAGTAATTATAGTTTTCTTAAAATAAATGCCAATTATGTATAATGTATTACTGGTTGTATACATGTGTAATGCGATGTAAATGGGCATATCAATTACGATAAAAATTTGTATTTGAAATTGTCGGGCCTACACTATTGATTGTTTCATATTCAATTGATTTGAGAACTAAAACAACTCAATAATCTATTTGATGTTGAAATTTAACAACTGATTGATTATAATTTAGTTATGCATGAGATGTCGAATTATAGAACAATCTATTGATCTCAATAGAAAGCAGAAACGTGACTTATCTTAAGAGTGATCAAGATTGCACAAGTCTAATAACTTCCACTTATTATATAACACAACATACTAATAATTTGTATTTCTCAAATTTATAATTTTATGAAAAATGGGACATCTTCCAACGCAATAGGGTAGGATATAAAGGTTCTATGAGGATATATTCAATTTTTAAATATCATTTTTTTGCAGGATATAAAGGTTCTATCAGGATATATTCAATTATATGCAATTTCTCATTCAGAAAGTCTAAAATTTATGTTTAAACAAAATAGAAATTAGAATCATGTTTTTATCGCATACAATTATCATTTAAAACTTCTTGAGACACCACATTTGATATGTAGACTCCTTCCTAGTTAAACTTTTTGGTAGATTTCATTAATTCCTTCGTATTAGCACGTGATAGCCCTCTAGACAATGTCATGTAAAGTTGATCGTGCGAGAATACCGATTCCGGTAGATAAACACCTACCACCAGAATTGTCTGTCCTTGAGCTTTTTGATTGTCATAGCAAAACAAAGTCGAACGGGAAATTGTTTTCTCTTTAATATAAAGGGAAACATATCATCTTCAGAAGGACATAGAAGAATTCTTGGTAAAAATACCCTCATACCAGCATGCTGTCCAACAACTATTTTTGCATCGATAACATTCTATTGAAAACCTCTACATATCAAACCGGTGTCGTTACATAATCCATTTGAGGGGTCGATATTTCGCAATAGTATTATTGGGTATCCAATTTTAAGCCAGAGGTAATGAGAGGGCAAACCGCTAACAGTTAGTGAGTTTAAAAATTCCATCGGATATAAGTTATTCTTGTCATCTTCTGCTTCATCAAAACTATAGTAATTTTTTTTCTCTCCGCAAAATCTTTCAATCAACTGATCATTAATCTCGTTAGCATGCTCATTTTTTGTTGTTAGTATCGCCCTCAAAATGATATAATCTGAAACAGTCTTGCAGGTTTGAAGAGAAGGAAAGATTGCATCAATCAAAGCATCCTTCAATTCATTTTTATTGGTGTAAGGAATGGCCATGTCATCAGGTATGAGAATAAAGTTTCCGTCTATTGATTCTTCATCTCTATCGTCGACACGTAACAGAAAGTCCGAAAACCATGGATCAGTAAGTGCTCTCATATTGAGAGTTAACCGCAACTTTTTAATTGAAGACCAAATAGGTGACATCTGTAGGCTTGAGTCTACGATCTATGCTCGAGTGTCATGTCTTATTACTAGCAAAACCTGTCTAAAATCACCTTCCATAATCATTATTTTCCCACCAAATGGGAGTCTCACCCCAGTGATGTCTTGCATTGTTCTACCGTGTGTCTCTACTGCCTGCCTCTTTGCCATTGATGCTTCATCCCAAATGATTATTTTTGCAACTCGAAGTAGTTAAGCAGTTCCACTTTGTTTTTTTATATTACACACCAAATTATTACTAAGAGTAAGGGGAATCTTGAATCGAGAATGAGCTATTCTCCCCCTGGCATGTTATTAGTGGCAACACCGGATGAAGTGGTTGTAAGAGCAATAAGTCCACGGGAACGAACATTAGCTAGCAAAGCTCTATACAAAAATGTTTTTCCAGTTCCACCTGGTCCATCTACAAAAAACTCACCTGGGACAATCAATATCTACATGCTTCATGATCTCATCAAATGCATGTTTCTGGTCGGAATTAGAGAGTTCCGGGCATGTAGGTCTTCGTCTTGTACAATTATGGAGTACTCTTCTTGTACCTCACATAATCCTCGTGATTCTAAATTGACAGCTGCATTTAAACTTGGAAGATCAAAATCATCGAGGTTTTTACCCATAGATTGTAAAAAGACTGTGATGTCTGTAAGAACCATATTTCAGACTCCCTCAATATTTTCATAGTCTCGTATATAATCTTCAGAGAGTGAATCATAATTTTCATCCCATAACTTGCGAACATCTCCCGACTCACAATAAATCAAGATCGTCGCGAATAATCGTCTAAGAGCATTGGGAAACTGAAATAAGGAGGCATCGGCAAGACAATGCGATAAATTATCGTCGGTCTCTATTAAACCTCTCTCAAGAGCTATTTTTCAAAATGTCGGATGTATTATGTCATTAACCGTGTAAAGATCTTCAAAGCACGTAGGCCCACTAATACGAGACAGAAGTAGGCGTAAATAATATCATTCTCTTTCGGCAGGATTAGCATGAACCAGTCGTCCTCTCATTGATCCTTGTTTTAGAAGATTCCATTTACGTGAACTGGCATTCCATGTGTAATGTTTTAGAAAATCTTTGTATAAATATTGTTTCGCAATCATATATGTTCTATTCCTCTCAAAAAATGTGGTCACATTGAGCTCTTATCCCTCTCTCTATCAACGATATCTGTCATTATATCATTCTCTCTGAACCTAACCAACTGCTTATTCGAAAGATGGACCTGCAAAGCCATCACACAAGGGTGGATTTGAGAAAGTGGAAAGCTAAAAATCCTCCAAACCGCCTCAGGTGGCGAAACATATCGTGCATCTTGAAATCTCTTTATCTCGTTGATAATGACCTCTTCTCTATTAAGATCGACATGAATAACTTGTTTGTCATGACCCTTGTAAACATACTTGAACACATATTTCACAAATATTATACTTGAGAAAACCTCAACATTGATGTGATTGTTGAACATCATTAGCAACTTTGGATTATATGAGACCACCCATCTATTATCAAGGATATTGCCCCGGACGTTCACCTTTATTCCATTGTTTCTCCTCCGACACATCAGATATGAGTTATCTGTATGCAGCGTCTTGTCGTTGAATTGTTCAGCATATCTAAAACGATATTTTCTCGGCTCACCTTCCATACAAGGGCTAGACGGTCGTGCATTTCAGGATACTTTATCGGGTCCGGGATTTCAGCACAAACTATCTTGTCGTAATGGTCTGGGTTTGTAATCTTGTGTTCCGGTTTCATTATCATGAGGATATGTGCATGTGGCAAACCATGTTTTTGAAACTCAATAACATAAACATATGCCCCAACCTCGCCGATGATGTGCTTCTTGAAGAGTTGATTTTTAAGATCCTCTAATTTGGCACGAAAAACTCTTATAACAAGGTCCGGCCCATCTTGCGCGGTTTGACCTGACAATAACTCTTTAAGGATTTCAGGCCACTACGGATTACATATCATGGTAAGAAATATATCGAGCTTCCCGTCATCTTGAACTAAAGCCATATCATCCATAAATCTTCTTCGCAAATCACGTGGGCCTCCGATAAAACTTGCAGGAAGCACAATCCGTTGTCCAACTCTACTTGGTTGAACCTCACCGGCATTGACACAATCCATAACACCTTGGTATAAGTCTGATCTTATCTTCGTTTGATTCCTTTCAATAAAAGATAAACGTGTAGTCTCTATCTTGATGTACATATTTACCACGAACTGTTGAAATAATCGTTCGCCTAATAGATGACGTTATTACTCAACCGAATCTGGAACTTGTAACAATAATACTCTCACATTGTTATAATTTTCCTACCCCTTCCTGAGCTAACCTCTGCATAGTATCGATTTTGAATAGTATAGATTAATAAATGAGTGAATAAAGTAATAAATATATGTGACAATGTTCATACCTTCATGATCTTCATCGAAGTTTTCGTTGTCATTAACAATTTCATCGATGCACGCTCCATGTCTGGGTATTCTAGCATGCCATTCAGACTCACCGTTGGGAAAAAACAAAGGATAACACAAAAGATCATAGCAACCATAGTGATGTTCAATTTTTTTACTGTAGTCAGACCTCCCATACACAACAATACTTCTCTTGTATGCAGTGATGTTGTCATTGCCTTCCACCCAAATACCAGCAACCTGTAGAATGGTAGAATTTGCTTCAGTACCATGCATATGATACATTTTATTGTAAATAAGATAAAATAAATACTTGTATTTCAACCTCAGATGTGGTCGTTCGGTTGTACACCATCTGGTCAAGTTCCACAAAAGCATTCAAAGTGACTCTATAATTGTCAAGTGGTCCTACTTGGCAAGACTTCGAAATGTTCTCAAGTATGAGTTTATAGAAAGAACACGAGTCAATATTTCAATGACGTTTCTATCAAGATTTGGCCACTATAGTCTACGCAAAAGCTCAGATTCGACATCATAAAAATAAAGTTAGAAGTACCGAGGTTGTCTATCCTAGGAACTGACTGATCGATTCTATGATATATTCCTCCTTGAGCACGAAACGTATTCCAGATGTCATATTGCTCACTGTACTATCCAAGGTTACCCCCATTGACGTGAAGGAAAAGTTTGTGTTGTATGCACGAATATTGTGCCTAAACATTTTTCCTAACTCTGATTGCGTTGTAAATAAATTGTATAGTTCTTTTGGAATGGGTGAGTATGCCAACTTTGTCTTCCCACTCATGCAACAAAAAGAACGGAATTCAACAATTTCCCTCGAATTATCGACAATTTCACAAATTTTGACCTCCAAAACAGAAATTTCATCAAGTTTATATTGGGAAATTTCACTGAATTCAACCAAAAATTCCAATTATTTCTTCTTACTGATGCTCAGTTAT